TTAATGAAATGACTAAAAAAAGTGCATTTTTAGTACTCTGTCGATGAAAAAAATATAAAAAATAATTCAAGGATTAAAAAAATGTTCAAAACTAAAAGTTTATAAACTAAAAATAACATTTTATCTAATATATCACTTAATTTCAGTTGTATGCACTTATATTTGAGCTCAGGATTAAGTCCAACGTTTAACTAACTTTTGTATGCAGTTAAATTAGTGACCGGCCAATATATGAATTTAAATTCAAATATCTATTTCGTGTCATACCCTGCACAATAGAATTGGTCAAAACTTCCTATTCGCTTCCTAATTGTTTTTACGCATAAAATTACTATTGCTTTCTAAATTATATGTAGTACTCCCTTTCTTTTATTTATTTATTTATTTTTTGTCCTTTTGGAAAAACGATCAATATTAATGAAGGATGTAAGCTTTGGTCCTCAATGGTAGGTATTAGTAAGAGTAGGATTAAGCTGCAATTGATTTTATCTAGCTTTCTACAATAAAGGAGTGTCTCCGTAATCCTTTTGGGTTATTCATGAATAAGAAGAAATATTTTCTTCCATTAATCTATCAAATTCTCTATGCAGTCTAGATTCTTCTCTTTCCTCTTCAATTCTCTATGGAAGACGAATGCGAATATTGACCCACCTTCACGATGAGATAATTAATGTTAGGCCACTGGTGCAATGAGGCCGACTATCACACAACGAAAAATAAGAGAAGAAACATGTGGCTTAAATGTGATCTGAGCGACTCCCGTTTCCCACGTCTAGGCTCTGTCTTCTCTGTATGGGGGCATATGAAGCTCTGCTCTAACGAGCCCAGTGAACTTGTGTGCTTTTGAGGGCATATGAAGCTGTTCACGTGTCAAACCTTCCTAGTTAAAGCGGAAAATCCCACATTGAAAAATAAATGAAGAAGCATATAACTTAAATATGATATGGGTTAGTTTTATTGCTTTATTAATTAATTTAAGGATGCACCTCATGTTATGATGAGGCTCAAGTGAGAAAACAATTTTCTTGTATCCCAGAACAAAATATAAATAGCCTTCATCTTCCTTATATATTTAGAACATGAAAATCCATCAAATAAAGATCTTTAAATTTGATTTTGCAAATTTACCAATTAACTATGTGCCACTCAGAAGAAAAATGTCCTCATTATGTATATTTGTCTCTCTTAAAATGTGAAAGTTTATTGTATTTGTTTCTAACTACATGAATTTTGTCTTTCAGATACTTCCCTAATAACTTCAAAATGCGCAGAGGATGGAACCCCAGGCAATGAAAATTAAGGAGCGAGCAATGAAGACTGAATTAAGGAGCCATAAATGAAG